AATATTTTTACTATTATTTTAAATTATGTGCACCTGTGTGTGTGTGTGTGCGCGCGTTCGCACGCTCGCACTCACAGGCACACACATCTGCAGAGATCACAGGCATTCAATTCCCCAGAGGGGAAGGGGAAGTGGTGTTACAGGTGGTGGTGGGCCACGTGATAGGGACACTGGGAACCCAACTCTCGTCTTCTACAAGAGCGGTATACACTCTTCAAGTCACCTCTCCACCTTACCGCTCTTTGTTGAGGCAAGAATCTCACTGTGTAGCCCTGGCCAACCTTGAACTCCAAATCTCCTGCCTCAACCTACCAAATGATGTGGTTGGTGGCGTGCCCACCAAACCCTGATCTTATATACACATATATATGTAAATGTACAAATATATCACATATATGCTATACATACGATACATGTGTTACTGTACTATTGTCGGATACCTAAGTTATTTCCAGCACTATACCTAAATGTATGTCTATAGTATATATTTTCTAGATGGAGCATTATCTATCTTCGTTTTAGATGAGCTCAGATTGCTCTCCTGTTTGTACCTGTTCTCCTGGCTCTGCCTTTGGGGGCTGGGATCACAGTAGTGCGCCACCAGGCCTCACTTGCCTTCTGAAGGTCATTCATAGGTTTCGCCTTCTTCCTACTTGTTGACCAACTGTGTTCCCCCAACGCTGTCCACGCGTCCATGGCTGCAGCTGCACGTGGAATTGTGGCACTAGTCCAGCACCGTGGTTACTCCTTTCATCCCCGAATCAATGTCCACAGGTATGGTCCCTGGGAACCGTGCAGGGACCCGGAGCAGTCCCGCCTGCACCCCACAGCCTGGTGCCGTGACTGATTTTTGTCATAGCAAGGCTAGCAATTGGCTCATTGTGATGCTAATGAGGTAGCAACCCTGATGTTCTAAAAGATTGTTGGCTGGAAGTTCTCCGGGCCAGGAACTGTCTCTCCACCTTCTCTATCATATTTTGAGTCAGAATTCAAATACAGTCCAGTTGAAGCCGCCGTAGGCCTGGCCTATAACTCTGTCTAGGGCATTCCCGTTTGTCATTTTTGTCTGCTTAGCATACCAACAAGGTGGAAAATCAATCTCAGTCCTTCTAAAAGGTAAACCTCTATTATTTTTTTCCCCAAAAGTACTACTAGTGTTTTAAAACTAGGGTGGATAAATTGCACTCTGTCAGTGCACACTGGGAGCCTTGAGAAATATCATAGAGAATACATTGAAATCCAAAACTTAAAAAAAATATGTATTTCTTATAAACAAGGGACAGGAGACAGTGCACAATCAAGATATTAAATTGTTTTCTTGGGAATATGTCGTTTTAAATTTCACAAAAATGAAGCCTTTAAAATATTTTAATTGCATATCTGTCATCACAAAAGAAACGAAAGAGCGCCTCGTCTCTTTGTCTTTAAAGCTCTTGAATCATAGTGATTCGCATTTTGTCTCATCTCAGTGGGAACTGACTGTGTCACTGTCTCGGTAACTTTTTTAAATGTAGTAATGAAATACTAAAAAGATTAAAGATATGAAGTGTTCTAGAGGATAAAATATCTTCTGTGTTCCCATTGATCCAGATTCTACCAGGAATACACAGTGCATATAAAACTCACTTTTAATTAAATAGTCTTATCCTAGGGCCCTGGGCGCTCACTTATCAGGAGTTAGTTTTGCTCTTTCTTGTGCCTTTTTCTGCGGTCTGGTATCACTTGGTAATTCAACACCGCCTGTACGGAAATGGAATATCCTGTGGATATTCTCCCGGTCACAGTGAGATTTGGGTGACTCCCTGTGATTAATGAACAACTGACTAGCGATGTTTCTGTCGTCGTCGTGTGTTCTCGTGAACACTGTGGCACTGTCCTGCAGATCGCTCCTGACTTCTCCTCGGCTCATTCAGGAGCTGTTTTTATCTCTTTCCTCCTCTGCCTCTTGCACGCCCCCGCCCCCGTAGCTGGATGCCGGCTCAGCCCCCACACATTTAGGCGTATTTATTCCCGTAAAGATAGTGACACTTGGGGTTTATTCTAAGACTAAATCCTCGCTGCCCAGTGACTAAGGACCGAAGCATTCACGCTCCCCCATCCTTCCCCTCCTTGCCCGCTTGACTACAGCACATTTTTCTGCCTTTCCCTCAGAATCCCCTGTTTTGGCACACTTCAATTCACACACTGCTGCCAGGCCACTAATTGATTTCTGAAACCTGACGTTTGTTTTCTGTTTTCTCCCATCTCCTTTAATGGTACAGGACTACTCAGCAGGGAGGAATGCAAAGACCTAAAAAGTTCAAAGTAATTGAGGATCTGTCCATTCACACGGGCTGGCTGCACGCCAGCGTAGAACCTGGAAAATCTGAAAAATATTTATCGCGTTTTAACCCTTCTTTGGAAGCTGATGGGGCAGGTTGTCAGCAGCCGTGTTTGCCTTGGTTAAACATGTTTTCTGTATGCTCAGAACAGCACGGCACACACCTTAGAAAAGGATTACCTTCCAATTTCCGTGCCATTTGCACACGACCAAGCTAGTTATTTTTCTTTTTTTGTTTTTCGAGACAGGGTTTCTCTGTAGCTTTGGAGCCTGTCCTGGAACTAGCTCTTGTAGACCAGGCTGGTCTCGAACTCACAGAGATCCGCCTGCCTCTGCCTCCTGAGTGCTGGGATTAAAGGCGTGTGCCACCATCGCCCGGCTGATATTCAAATATTTTAAAAACAAAACTGTAAATGCATCAGCTATGTGAACCAGGCCAAAGTCAGGTCAGGCTCATATACATGTATGTATATATACATAGGTATACACATGCATACATACATATATATAGTCTTTTTAAACATGGGAAAATAAGGAAGTGACAAGACTATAAAAATATGATCTGGAAGAGCTTGTCAAATAGTTTGTGGGCTTTTGTTTTGCTGTAATGGAAAACCTTGTAAGGGTAGCGAGTTAAAAAGCCAGTGTTTAACTTAGAAGGATCTTTAGTGTAAAAACAAAAATGGGTCTTATTTCAGTAAAAAGGCATAGCCCACAGAAGCTCTAATGACAAAAAAAAAAAAAAAAGAGGAAAGGTTTAGATAGGTTTAAAAGCAAATTAAAATACACATAAATTCGAAGATATATTGACTTTAAATTGGATTAAACTTAAAGGGAAATGGAGAAAAAACAATCTATTAAGTGTTATCAAAACCATACTTGGTGGTTTGATTGTATTATGAACATTAAGTAACTAAAACTCTTCCCAAAAAAATCAACTGTTCTTTTAAAAAGTTAAATCCAACACCAATTCTCTGACCTGCCTCTGAGCTATTTGATCGCATGATTGGGTTTAATAAGAGAGAAAATGGGGCCGGATTTTTGAAGATGAAGGCTGACCACATGAGATTGGTCACTTAGAGACACAGGTGCAAAGACACTTATTAAAAAGCACTCTGGTGTCACGAAAGCAGACATCACCCGTCCTCTGAACGCGACAACCACAACTATAAAAATGAATCATTACTCACAGGAAGGAAAAGGGAGAAAAGAAATCGAGTTCACAGGATGATTTTATCTTTGCTGAAAAAAAAAAAAGCAAGCGTGTGATACTTTCTGTGCATATTCACCTACCTGGATTTGGAAAGGGGGTGCACACCCCTGATACACTCTTTGAGGTGCATTTCTTCCCTAAGAGCCTTTGAAGCGGTGCTGCCCAGTGAAGAGGCCAGTGAGCTCTCCATGGGCGTGCTGCTATAATATGCTGTCGATGTATGTATATATGTAGTCATATTACAGACATTTTTCTCAAAGTTTATCGTTCCGGCTTCGTAATCAGTCACATAAAGTCCTGTACAAAACCATTAAGGATTAAGGGAAGTAGTTTCCTTTGGTGATTGCTGGGAAAAATTTAAAAAATTTAAAAAACAAACACTTACCCTCCATTAAAAACAACCCAACCAGTGGGTAGTAATGTATTTAGCTGTTATGTTCCTACAGGTTTGGGTTTCCAGTTTTCAGAGCCCTTGACTATCTGTGAATGTTTGTGGCTTCTTTGGTTCCCGTTTCGTAGGAAAAGGTGCCACTGTATTAGGCAGATGGGCTATACTTATCTGAAAATATTAAACTCCGCTTTCCCCCTCTGGAGACTACAGTGCTAGCAAAAATAAGCCAAAGATGTAATGTCTATTTAAATACCCAGTTGAGCTGGCTGTTAGTTCTCAAATTAGATTCCATGCTCCGGCTAGAATCAACATGGTTTAAATATTAAAAACTTCATAATTCATAAGGCCAAACCCACCTCTTCGGCACGTACGGCGACGAAAGGTAGAAAGGTCTGTGGAAACTTGTAGCTGCTTAAATACCGTAGGGGGAAATACGCCAAGGTTGGTATGCAAGGATTTGAGAAAATGCTTGACATTACAGCTTTTATTCAGGGCATAAGGGATCTGCTAAAGGATAGATAGACCCACTGCTGAAAACACAGAAATGAGACCTGTTTTACGTTTGTTACCGGTGTGCCTCTTGTTTTCCTCTGAACTTCAGTTTGTATACTTAAAAAGACTCATTCATCGGACAGGACTGGAAACCTCAGCTCCCCCACCTAACTGCCTTCGGTCTTCAGCTTTCGAGTTTCAGGTCCTTGCACAACACCTAAGACGTGCAATACTTTATTTTTTTTTTTTTCCCTAATCCTGGCAGAGAACAGTTCGGAGAGATCTCCCTCCACGTCTCCACCCTGATTTCCCCTCTTCCTAGATTCCGCCCGCTCCTCTCTTTCCCTCCGCCCTGCTCTCCGCCGGCCCAATCTGTCAGAGAAGTTGTGTACAAACTGCGCCGCAGCCCTGCGCGCGAAGCTCGTGGCCCGCGAGGGGTGCGGTCGGCCCGTCGGAGGCGGGACCTCGTGGGACTTCGTTCCCATTGGCTAGCTGCTGGCTCTGGGGCCTTACTATTGGCCACGGCGCTGCCAGTCGCGGGAGCTGGTCCTGCCTCCCCGGAGTTGGGTGAAATAGAGGCGGGCGTCAAGTGTCAGTAGTCGCGGGGCAGGTACGCGCGCTCGCAGCTTTCTGGTGCAGCTCGGAGGTGGCGGGAGCGGGTTCCGGCCGAGCGAGAGAGCTCTGGGGCGGGGCGGGAGAAAGTGGCGGCCGGAGGACCTCGGCGGTGACGCGTGGCCGAGCCCAGGAGTCCCGATCTACGTGCCCGCCTTCGTGAGCCGCTGGCCTCCGGCCCAAGGGTCCCCCCCGCAGCGGCCCCCGCGCCGAGTCCGTCGTCCCGAGCCAGCCCGGGCGAGGTGGGAATCGCGATCGCCCCGTGCCCCGCGCCTGCAACCACCCCCCTTGACCGCCCATGGCTACGCGGGTGCTGACCATGAGCGCCCGCCTGGGACCCGTGCCCCAGCCGCCGGCCACGCAGGACGAGCCGGTGTTCGCGCAGCTCAAGCCGGTGCTGGGCGCTGCGAACCCGGCCCGCGACGCGGCGCTCTTCCCCGGAGACGATCTGAAACACGCGCACCACCACCCGCCTGCGCAGCCCGCGCCGCCGCCAGCCGCCGGCCCACGGCTGCCCTCGGAGGAGCTGGTCCAGGTAAGCAGAGCGGCCGGCCGGCCTCCCTCCCCGGGCTCGGGCGTGTCCCGCCACTGCGAGGCGCGGGCGACAGGGGCCGCCCCAGGCTGGGGCGCGCGGGAGCCGGTGCCCGGGTGGGCAGCCCCGCCCTGCGCTCCCAGACGGGGCGCCGCGGAGTGGATGGGGGAGCGGGGCGGGGGCCCACTCGATCGGCCCAGAGGTGCTCGCGCGCACCTTGTCTGTTTTTCTTGCGTGGGAATGGAAGCTTGTGTCCACACTCAGTTTGACTTGAATTGTTTCACCTTGACGCTCTCTTCCGATGGCCCTGGCCTAGGAAGTCCACCTGCCTATGTCCTCTGGGATGAAGTCGAAATGCAGATAGGAGTACTGGGGTTTCATACCCCCGTGGTTCACCTTAGAATGGATTGTAGGGCCCCGTTTGGGAAACTAGAGTCAGGATCTAAGGTTGTATGAGAACAGTGTTTTTTTTTCCTTAAAAAGAGACACGCGCCCCAAAAGGCCAGGGGTGTTGTTTTAGTGTGCGCGTAAATTTCCTCCCGGAGTCGCGTTGAAAGCTGGCAGTTGGCTTTTGCACTTGCCCAGCAGCCGAATTAGAGCAAGCGCCTGTTTCTTTCGCCCACGCACGGGAGTCATATAGCCCAGAAAAAACTTCCCGGGACTTTCAGCTAGTCCCAAGGAAAAAAAAAAATTGGAAACAGACCCACATGCAAACAGCTGGAAGAGCTAAAATCAGAAACCACTAACCGCCGCGGGAGCGCAGTGCACGAAAGGGTTTTAGTTCGGTTTATTTCAAGACGCTTGGTTTAATAGCCTCTTGCTGTATTGTGTATTTGCACCCAGCGCCTATTTCGCGGGGTCTGCCAGTGTCGTCGTGCGTTGAGAGGACAGTGGCATTTGTCAGATGTGACTCACATGGCTTGAGCATGAATCTTTATTTTTAAGTCGTGCATATCCGGGAAATCCCGTCCGTCCTAGTCAACAGCCAGATCCTAATAATCTGAGGTCCGAGATGAAATTCTTTTGGAATTTAGAAGCAGAAATACCACTCTTGTTCGCCGATTGGGGTGCAGTGGTTTATTGTTCGGTGAACTATTTCATTTAGTTGGGCTTTGTTATTTTTTTTTTCTAACTTGGTTTTCAATGTCAAGAGAAATTGGGAGAAATTAAGCTTTCGGTCTGTTGGGAGGGAAGAAGGGAGCTGGGAAAAGACCAGGCGGTGGGTCTGGAACATTCTTAAACAATCAGGGCCAGGGGGGATATTTGGCTCTTTCGCTCTGGCAGTTGTCTCTTAGTAGATAGCAAGAGGGTACGGGATGACTGCGCTTTTTACAGAGGAAGGGGGAATGTTGCATTGGCCCACGGAGAGGACATGATAAATGTTTTGCTGATGACTGTGTTGGCAATCCAGCAGCCTCCCCACCCACGGGCGTCTTAGCACCAGTCTACCAAGGGAGTGATTTTCTCCTTGATAATTAAAGATCTGTTTTAGATAGGGATATGAATAGGAACATTTCATTATTACATTAACCAATTACCGAATCTACTGGTTAGAACCAACATTTACATCCAGTGTTGAAGCTGTAATTGTTTGGTTTTTAGTGCAGACGAGGGTTTGCTCCAAACGTTGAAATTTTTATTAATCAAAAAAGGTACTGAAATGGCCAGAGAACATTTTATGTTAGACAGACTTGAGATACCTAACTCTGCCCACGTAAAAGCCCTTTGAAATACTATTTTTAAGATTTGCAAAGGTCTTAGTTTTCAAATAAAGCATGTTAAATGTAACGGACATGAACAGAATTGAGGCAGCTTGACAATACTCTGGTACTGAACTCTCACTGACTGCAGATTTAGCCTTCTTGAGCTGAGGTGAGACTTGGATTGCATCAGAAGGGAATACGGTTTGTCTTGGCCCCCCTTCCCCCCTCCCCGCCACTCTTTCACTTTGTCTGGGGATGATTTGGGGGAGTGATTTTACTAAAGACATCTCAGACAGTCTTTTGGTTAACCAATAATTACACAATTGACAAAATACACCCTTCTGTTTATAAGCAACCCTTAGGAGTTGGCCCCTGGTTTGGTGTTGGGAGTTTTTAGTAAGTGCTGTTTATTTGTGCTCCCTGGGTGAATCGGTGGACTCACTGTGTACTTGTACCTCTTCTCTTGTAGACAAGATGTGAGATGGAGAAGTACCTGACACCTCAGCTCCCCCCAGTTCCAATAATCCCAGAGCATAAGAAGTACCGACGAGACAGCGCTTCCGTGGTAGACCAGTTCTTCACTGACAGCGAGGGCTTACCTTACAGTATCAACATGAACGTCTTCCTCCCCGACATCACTCACCTGAGAACTGGCCTCTACAAATCCCAGAGACCGTGTGTGACACAGATCAAGACCGAACCTGTTACCATTTTCAGCCACCAGAGCGAGACGACGGCCCCCCCTCCTCCAGCCCCGACCCAGGCCCTCCCCGAGTTCACCAGTATATTCAGTTCCCACCAAACCACAGCTCCAGAGGTGAACAACATCTTCATCAAACAAGAACTTTCTACCCCAGATCTTCATCTCTCTGTCCCTTCCCAGCAGGGCCACCTGTACCAGCTATTGAATACACCGGATCTAGACATGCCCAGTTCTACAAACCAGACGGCAGTAATGGACACCCTGAATGTTTCTATGTCAGCCGCCATGGCAGGCCTCAACACACACACTTCTGCTGTCCCGCAGACTACGATGAAACAGTTCCAGGGCATGCCCCCTTGCACGTACACCATGCCAAGTCAGTTTCTTCCACAGCAGGCCACTTACTTTCCCCCGTCCCCACCGAGCTCAGAGCCTGGGAGTCCCGATAGACAAGCCGAGATGCTCCAGAATTTAACTCCTCCTCCGTCCTATGCTGCTACAATTGCTTCTAAACTGGCAATTCACAATCCGAATTTACCCGCCACTCTGCCAGTCAACTCACCGAGTATCCAACCCGTCAGATACAACAGGAGGAGTAACCCCGATCTGGAGAAAAGACGCATCCACTACTGTGATTACCCCGGTATGTGGTCTGTGTGCTTGCAGCGTGGCCCGTGTTTTGTGTTGGGTGTGCACAAGTGGCTTTCGCATGCATGCACGCGTGTTCGCACCGTTTTGAACCTTAGGCGTGAAAATATATAGTAACGTGTATTTGACAGTTAAAAATAAATCACCTAGTTTCTCTTATAATCTAGTCCTGCATTTTATGCTGGTGGCTACTTAGGTCTGTTGCTTGTCTTATGTATTTATGTCTTATGTAGTCAGAGATGGCTCATGCCTTTAATCTCAGCAGTGAGGCTGAGGCAGGAAGATTGCACATTCGGACTAGCCTGGGCTACATAGCAAGATCCTGGCTCTTAAATAACAATTTCCACAATTTTTTTTTAATGATTAGAGCATTCTAGGGAATAAGTTAACTTGGATTTCTTTCTCTTTAGTAGTAAATAAAACTTGGGTTTCATTTGGTCTTAAGAAATTGTGTCATTCAATTCCAAAAAGTCTCCTGGAGATTGAGGAGGGTGAGAGGCCATAGCGTGGTAACGTTGAAGTTCAGGGTGTGGGTCCCTCTTAGCAAGTACAAGGCTGCTTGCAGGACAGATTGAAGGGAGAGTTCCGTTAGTGTGTACACATTCTCGAATGAGATACGTGACCCAAAATATAATTTGACGGTAATAAATATATCTCCCAAGTTGCTGGCGTAAGCGGGTTTATGATTAATATAGGACACAATTTACTGGCTACGGTGCGTGATGTGGCGTGACATGCTAAATGAACAAAAAAACAAAGTGGGAGTGTGGAAAGTTATAGTCATCTTGGGTAAGGACTTACACGGCCAGCGCCTCATCCACTAAGTTAAAGATATATATATACTGGGACAACTCGAGTCACTGAAGCTTGTGTTAGAGTCAAAAAGCACACATTTTCCATTTGTTCCTTGGCTGGATTGCCCATGTTCAGTGCTCGCAGAGCGATACATAGGTCGGATCACCTCCCTCTACCTTCTAATAAGATCATGGGGGAGGATGCCTTGAAATTGCTTTACCAAAGCTTCCAATATTGTCTTTAAAGCAAGATTTCAACACGGACTCATCAGATGTAAAGGTTTCCCAAGGCCCTGGAATTGACGAGCTGCTCTCCTCTGTTCCTTTATTTTAGGTTGCACTAAAGTTTATACAAAGTCGTCCCATTTGAAAGCTCACCTGAGGACTCACACGGGTAGGTAATTTTCTTGCTAATTCCTCGAGTTGTGTAAATAGCCTAAGTGGCATTCACCCTTTTAAAAGCCAACACGTGTTTGATCTCTTCTTTCTGTGGACTTTCGCCGAGGGCTTGGCTTAAAATTCAGTTCCCCAAGAAAGCCTGGCAAGCTGAGGGTTCCCTCAGTGAGACCTTGCCCTGTCACCTCCAGGAGAATTAATGAGCCCCCCCCCCAGAACGTAAACAGCAGTGTTTACTAATGGATTTTAAAACTTTAATGGCAATGCTTATTTCTGTCTTGAAAGAAGGAAAAATTCTTGGTAAATCATCTTGCTTTAATAAAGCCCTTTTAAGCTGAAAAACTTTTCCGCTTAGCATGTTAAGCAGTAGTGCTTAACACCGGTGGCTTCAAATATTTGTGTTTGGCGTATTTGCTGTGTCTGAAACACAGGCCTGAAATCTGCAGGGTATTAAAGTGGGGTGGTCAGAGTGAAGGGCGATAGTTGAGACATGACTCCAGCCAACCTCAGCCCTGGCTGGGTTGAGAGTCCTCGTCCTAAGTCGTCAGTCTTCCGTGTCATCTCAGATGAAGCATGCTTTTGAGTTCACTCTCTAATTTTATAATGATTTGTTTCGTTAAATTCACAGCAGCCCTTTGTGGGAGCTATTAATTTTGAAGCCTCATATCAAAAAACACGTTTAACATGAAATTTGGTAGCGTACTTTATTAAAGGGTTCCACATACCCATAATATTTTCAAGTGTCTGGATAATGTTACTATAGTAATTTTCTTTAAAAAAAAAAAAGCCCTAAAGGAAGAAACCAGATAAAAGTGGCTGCAGTTTTCCCTCAAAGACAGCCTCCTTACCTGAAGTTCAAAGAATAAGTGTGCTAATAAAAGCAGTGACCTAGCAAAATGTATTAGCCCATCATTGCTATGGAAACCAAAGTATTCAACAGTTCCTTTGAATGGGCTGTTGGATTAGTGTGAGGACTTGAGTCTCCCTAGGCTAGATGTTACTATGGAAATTGAGTTTTGATAAATGAAGTAGTTATCTGTAACTGCTGCATTAAAAAGTAAAAGCCATGAAACAAAGGTCAGTGCCGAACAGGAGCCCTGAGAGGGGGCGGCTGCAGGCGTTTGTGTGCTCGATATCTGAATGCTAAACACTTCTTGAAACCCAAACGGTACTGTCGACAATGTGCTAGATACCAGGCCTTTCCGAGAAGAGGTGGCTCCTGGCTTTATCTGTGAGAGGAATGGATTGTTTTGGCCTGAGGTTATTTTGTTTGCAGGTAATCGCAAACAGAATAATCCAGCACATGATAAGAAAGTCTAATCTTAAATTTCCAAAATACAGTTGATACATGCCAGAAGATTCCACGTAGAAATCGAAAAAGAAAAGAAAGAAAGAAAAAAAAAACACCAAAAAAAAAAAAAAACCCTAAAATATCTGGTTTCCAGACTGCTGTTGTGTTAGGGAAACACTGAGCTTTTGGTCAAGGGGAAATAGAACTAGCTTAGAAACATTTGAGCTATTGTTCTGCCTCTCTCTCTCTCTCTCTCTCTCTCTCTCTCTCTCTCTCTCTCTCTCTCTCTCTCTTTTCTCCTCTTGGTCCCTCTTCAGAAGTCCTTGAAACGAGAGATAAGGAGGAGGGAATGTATTTTCGAGGTTAAAGTCCCGTAATAAAAGAAGTGTGCAGTTGCACATAACGAAGTAATCAACTGCTTATTGGCGGGGTGTCGTCAGGCCATATCTAAATAGCCTTCCACCCCTGTCGGGGTTTACTGCTCTGAATGCTTGTACTTGGTATCCTGGAACTTGACCTGCTGGCAAAGAAATTTAATAGTGGGTAGTCTGAACAATGCCTGTACTAATAAAAAAAGCAAACCGAGACAGAGGATCTAGGCCTAGTTAGGGTCCCATGCAGGGGACTTTTTCACTTGATAAATATCGTGGCCTTAAACGTCTAATAAGTAAGACCACGTAATGTCGTTTAATAAAGTTTTGTTTGATAGTCTTTCAAATGCCTTGGGGAGGGTTTGTAACAGACTCGCTCATCTGGCTAAACCCGTTCTTAGGTAATCATAGAGCATTGAGGCTTTCTCCTCATTTCTCGTTTCTAGACAATGCCTCTTAAAATTACCTGTTCGCTGGCTGCTGTTGTCTCCTCCCTTCCTCTGCTCCTGCCCATTGAGAGCACAGGCAGCCAGCAGATACTGGTGTGCTGTGTTCCTTTTCCTTCCAATGTCCAGGCGGAGGAAACAGTATTTGCTTTTTTTTTTTTTTTCTGAATAGAATCTCCGATTTAGTGCCTTGTCTTGCTTTTCTTTCTGTCCCATTTCCTCCCACTTGGAAAACTTGTTAGGGGACTTCAAAAACTACATGGCAATGTTGCGTATTTGACAAAAGATGCTTCTCTAATGGTTGCTGGCAGAAGGAAGCACCCGGCATTTCTGCGGAAAGTAATTGGAGTTGCTTTCAAATGTCAGGTTACCATATGTCTCGACTGATTTAAGCAATTAAACAACTTTTCCCCAATGCTCTGTTTAATGACTTATTTCTGGGGTTCCAGGTAGTGACTCTGTAACCTGGGTTACAGAGGGAATCTAACCAAATACCCAGACACGCACGCAGCACAGCTATTTCTAAACCAGGACAACAGTAAAATGCCAGTCTGCGTTTGGTGTCCCAAGTATCATAGAAGTCAAGGTTTCTAAGTTCGGAGGTCTTGGATGTCTTTAGAGAGAAACTCGCTTAAAAGAACTTAAAAAAGCTCTACTGTGTATGTTCAGACGAGATCCGAGACGTAACTATCTGTGTTTATCTGTACGTAGGACGGCACGCTTGTGGGCTCATAGGCATCCTTTATGTGGGTGAGTGGGTGCTTGTGAATGGCATCTGTGATACGTATGCTTCTGTTTAGAAATAGTTAGGGCTGCTTCTAGGCAACAGGGTTAGTAAGCGGTCTATTCCCAAATCAAAATATTTGTATTTTGAATAGCATTTAAAAGAACATTTCATTGAAGTTCTTAGGCCTTGTGATGTTTACAAGGGAGAGACACGGTGCCATTGTCTTCGCCTGACCACCTTTCAAAGAACGCCTGGCCTAATTCTATGCTCGTAAGCCACCAAGATAGAGAAACTGTCTTCTGTAAACGGCTTATCGTTCCTGTGTTCATATGCACAGTACTGGTTTTAGAAGACAACTTTCTGCGTTCTAGGCTCTTAGCAATGAGCTACACCCCAGACTCCGTCCCAGAATTCCATTAGGAGGACAGTAGAATTCCACTGTTCAGCCTTGGCTTTCTGCAGCAGGGCATATAGAGAATTAGCAGTTGTATTAACCACCTGGGAGCAGCACCCAGCCAGGGGTTGGAAAAGAAAAGGGGCAGTTAGAAATTCCCACAACCAACGTGGCAACAAGAGCAAGAGCACAGGGGACTCTTGAGTACTGTATTCAAGATCTGATGAGGATGGGCTGTAACCTGTCCCTCAGTGTGACAGGGCAAGTCCCCACCTTGTCCCTTAACCTGCTGTGGAAACCAGATTATCCAGTGACATTGATTTGTAAGATGTTTCCATGTGTCCCCACCACCACCACCACATACAGGGGTTCTCTGTATCTCCTCCAGCTGTCCTGAAACTCACTGTGTAGACCAGGCTTCCACGTGTGCTTTTAAAAGTACACAATTTTGGCTTCTGCTTTAGTTTCTAAGTTTGACGTGGGGACTGAGAGTCCCCCATCTTTGCTGGGAACTTAATTTCCACAGGCTCTATCAGACACAGTCTCGATACTGTTGGCATCTGAGATGTTTTTAGTACAGGCATTTTTTTTTTCCTCCACTGAAGAACTCTAGACTACTCTGGAAAGGGGTGAAAGGCAGTAAACAAGAACCAGCAAGGATTCCTTTCAGGCCATGGTGGATGCTGGAGGTCATACGGGTTGGATCTGGACAAGATGGACATTAGTTGGATTCCTAACCTGTTGTGTCGGGATACATTTGCATGAGGGAAATATTTTGTACATATAGTATCTAGTGATTTTCATGTATTTAAAAACAGCACATTGGAAAGCTTCACAGTTCAGCATTTGGCGATAGGCATTAGTATTTCAGTGTTCTGGTTCACTTGGAGCTTTGAAATTTATTTTTTACATTGACTTTACAGCCCTTTTTTTTTTTGAGTAGTGGCTTACAGAATTGTTGGTTTAGACCCCAGGAAAGGTACTTATGAGCATGAAAGCTTAGAAACAATTTCTCTTTAATGACTCACTGAGAAGACTAAACTTCCCTTCGGGGACGAGTTCTTTCATCTGAAAAACATTTACATAGGAAATTGATCAAACATTGTTTCAGGATGATAAAGCTTATCAAAGGTTAAGAAGTATAATTTAATTCATCAGATATTTTTTCACTGGTTTTCTGAAGAATCCAAAGAATTAATCTCATTTTACCCTTTAGCTTTTAAACTAGTGGGAGGAGAGTTCCTACGTAGATGAACTACAGTTGTTGAAATTGAGAGAGAGGCAGTCAGCCGCGGGAGGGCTGGAGGAACGCAGAGAACAGTATTTAAAAATATATATTTTAATTACCCAGGAATTTTCCTTTGCCGAGTATTTTTAGTTCTACCTGATGGCCCACATCTTTTCTGGTGAAAGATTAGAAACAAAAGTCACCTCCTACTTGAGGGGAAATGACTCTCGTCTGCCTGGGCGCTTCATATTCGTGGATACCTAACTAGTCTAAGGGCAAGGAACTGCTTTAGAAGCACAGAGTGGCTAGTGTTTGTTTGTTTGTTTGTTTGTTTTGCCTAAAAAACGTCTACAAAGAATGAATTCCCTTCGACTACTTCATAAAGAAGCAGGTGGGCTACTGGGCAGGGGAGCCAGCTGAAGAGCTGGTGCACGAAAGGACGACAGCCTTTCACTGACATTTTAGGCGTTTTTGTTTGAAGTTAGTTTGGGACCTTAACAAAGAACCAATCCAGTGGCATCTTTCTGTCAGGAGCTTTGAGAACTGGTGCTTCATGTCAACTCTGAGCACTTGTTGAGGCTGAGAAATCGTCCATTGTAGGATGATCCACTCTGCCTGTCCCTCAGTCTCCACAGCAAGATCACGCTCCATGCTTTGCTCCAGCAACATGGATGCCCTCTGGTCCCCGAATAAGACCCCTTGGTGCTTGTGACCAGCACTGTGGCCTTGCAGAACTATGGGGGCTGTTCCAGTTCTATAACTGGAAATTTGTTTACAGAGAATCTCTATCCTGCTGACCTACAGGATAAGGGATTCTAATCTTTTATCTCGAAGAAGAGTTGTCATCTGAATATAGTTGATGATCTCCGTGGTCCCGAACCTCACACCAGCCTTCTTACTGCCCTCATCTTCGTTATGAAAATAACTGCTCAGACTTGGCTGAAACATTGTTTTCAGAGAGGCAGTAGCGGAGGAGTGCAGAACAAAGGGGCAGCCAGGAGCACAACATACAGCCCACCACTAACACTCTCGCCTCCCTGCCCAGGGCCGCGGTAAACAGTTCAAGTACATTTTAAAAACCAGATCCTGGGGACTGAGCCCACCACCCTGTGCACAGTCTGTACCGCTGAGACGCATCCCTAGTCCCAGTTAAAGCCCGCTTATATGGTGAGGGCACCAAAATCTTTTCATGGAAAAGTACTGGCAGGGTTTTCTGTAGTAAATAAAAAAAAAAAAAAAGTCAATGAACCCAAATCCCTATCACTTCTCAGATATGTAAATGCTATTTTCCATGATTCCTTCAATGGTTTCTCTTTTCCCTTTTCTTATTAGAAGCAAATCTGGTCTTGAGTCTGTTTCAGAAGTGAATACCCGCAAGTCCGTGGTAGGGAGGGCAGTTATTGTGAGGGACCTAATTATCTATCATACTAGGCAATAGTGCAGGTGGTGTCCCCTTAACATTGGTTTCAGTTCTGGTAGTTTGGGGGCTTTTATCTTTATTATGTTGATTAGAATGACTTTTCAACATGGACAAGGAAACAGATAAATTTACTGTCATAAACCTTAGAGCTACCTTATTTCCTTTGTCACAACAGTCTATGTAGAACTTTCTAGTAAAGGACCCTGGTGTGCGACTATTGAATCTGTTCAACAGAGCAGAGAAACCTCCCATTCTATGGTAGGTTCAGAAGTCTTTGGTTTCCCTAGTATTGGCTGCCCTGGAACTAGTATTGTAGACCAGGCTGGCCTTGAATCCACAGAGATCCGCCGGCCCCTGCCCCTCGGGTGCTGGGATTAAAGGCGTGCACTGCCTGGAGAGAGGTCATCTTTAAAATCTGTTCAGCAGAGGATGTTTTTGAAAAGTGTTCTTGAGCCCAGTGGAAGAAGCCTCATTAAGGTTACATCTGGAGATGGAACAGCCTTCAGAGTCTCCTAGATGAGGCTCTGTCTCGCTACAGAGTACCCTGCGCCTCACACAGCCTAGGCTTTAAGGGCCTCTGAGTCCATTAGCTATCCCATTCTCATGAGAGACTGTAGAATCTGAGTGAATTTGAACACATATGTGTTCACTTGAATCACTGAAAGGGTGTTACAGTGTTTGCTAATGGAGACTTAAGTGGGACATTAAAGAAAGTGCAGGCCAGGGCTCTTCATGTGAAGCCCATTGCTCAGCTTCTAACTTCCACAGTGGCTGTGAGAGTTGAAGGAGAGAAATACCTAGCTCTAGAGCAGACTTGTGGAGGCCCCAGGAAGCCTCGTCTCTTCCGGGTAGGTGTTTTTGCTAAGGTTTAGACAGTATGCTGGTAGCTTTATCAGCATGGGGCTTGTGTGTGTTTAGCTTGGACATATTTTTCAGAAGTTAGGGATTCTTCAGCCGTCCCTTCTAGCTCTAAGGCAGGGAAGAAAGTGCACACTGGGAGATGAAGCAGAAAGGTTTCCACACCGCATAGCCTCGCCACTGTTTTCGCTTTGCTGTTCTGCAGTTTGACGCTAGCAGCCGAGGGCTTAAAAATACAGCCGCTGCTGAAAGAGCTTAACTAAGTATTTCAAATTGGTGGTATTGGAAAGAGATTCTTTAGAAATCCAATTACTTTGGAAAGCTCTATCCTGTTGAAATGTAACTTGGAGGAAGTCAGTTTGCTTTCCCAGAAGTACTGACCGTAGTGTTTCTGGCTGAGGAAAAAAGGCTCAAGTCTGCTCCCAGGCCAGAAATGGGGTACCAGCTTCCTCTACGATGTTTTACTTGAACAGTGTTGACACTTGAACAAATCCCATAGAAACTGCCCCAAGTGGGGGGGATAGTTGTCCTTGCTTTTATAGTAAGCCTTGGCCCTGGTAACTGCCCTTCCAGACACTGGTAGTATTCTTGGCTGAATAGGCTATAGATGCCCATAAATTGAGAGCAAAACCCCAAATGTTTTAGGAACTTTAATGGCTACTGTGTGTCAACCAATCAGTAAAGTCAACTTTACAAAATATTGGTGCAGTTTATTGCTTTGCAGCCAGTAAAAACAGTGAACAAAAAGAGTCCAGTGTCCCCTGCTTCTCAAGTAAACTCTGAAAACTTAGTTCTCTGTGTGTAATTATTAAATTCAAAAGGCTTCAATGATCCTTCTGAAACTGGGACTCCTGAGGAAGTTTTTTTTTTTGCCTTGATTTAAACATCAGAATTAGATCTCTCCCCCACCGAATAACAGGAAAGTCATGCTTGTTACTCTAATTTATTTTCACTCGACATTTCTGTGTGAAATTCTGTCTTCTGTTTGATTCGCATCTCTGAGCCCGATAGTTAGAGTTACCATGAGTGTTGAGTTCTCTCTGTGAATCCAGCATTGTGAGACTGTAAAGGGAAGAGAAATGACTTCTGTTGCTTAAAAGCCCGAGTGTTAGCGTAACTTTCTAGGCTGAGTTTACTATGAGGGAGCAAAGCACAGTTTCAAATTCACCCATCCCAAAGATGCGTGCGCGCGTGCATGCGTGCGTGTGTGTGTGTGTGTGTGTGTGTGTGTGTGTGTGTGTGTGCATGCACCTGTGCTGGAGGAGAAATCTAGAATAGAGATGTGTGTTTGACTTGACAGTTTTCAAAGAGCATGTATGTAGTTTAGACTAGTTTCAAACTCGTAATCCCCCTGCCTCAGCCTCCCCAGTACTGGGGTTACAGGAATTTACCACCAGGCCTGGCTGAGATGGGCATTTTAAAAACCAGAATGCTGGAAACCAAAAAGAGAGTGAGTCGTAAGTGTGTCTTCCATCAGAGGCAGATAGGGGAGCCGAGAGTAGGTTAAGGTGAATGTCCTCTAAGTAAAGGTGCTGCGATGCCTTTGGCCCAGTTTCATGCCATCCATTCTGGCCTTGCTTCTTTGTCCCTGGAGACTTTAGGGTCAGAATAGCATCGGGACAGTGAAGGGTACCCTGGCCACGTGCTGTGGAAGCTGCAGAGTGTGGACATTAACATTGAACTGAGCAGCTTCTGGAGAATGATACCACTAAGTTAGACAAGGGCTGTGGAGTTGCTGGCAGAACTACGCCAAGTCTCTTCCCTTTCAGCCCAAGCTGGTCTTTATTAGCAATTTTTCTGCCTCAGGTCTGCTAGACGAAAACCCTTATAGAAGAAGCTGGGGGAGATTATCCATGAAAATGCCAGAGAAACAAATAATAAATAAATGCAGTCCGTCTTGACCAGGTTTAGTGTTCAAAGGCTTGGAATTTGGGGGTTTGCATAGGAAGATACTTTATCTTAAGTGGGATTAATTCTAAAATAGCAAATTAAAATTGTATTATAAATATGAAGTAATTTTGGAAGTTAAGTGGCTGGTAAATTTGGGGGAAACCTGAGGAATTATACAAGCTGTATGCAAAGGACTGGGAAAAAAGAACTGAAATTGGGCCAGGTTTTTAGGTATCAACTGAGATCCCCAAGGCCTGGCCGTTTTGTCTTAATTGTTGTATTCCACAAGTTTTTGTGACCTGAATAATTGCCAAATTGTTCCTGGGATAAATTTGGGGTGAAGGTTGAGACAGGATCTTTTTATATATAGCCTGGGCTGTCCCAGAACTCACTGTGTAGACCAGGCTGGCCTGGAATTTATTTGCCTCTGCCTCCCAAGTGCTGGGATTAAAGGTGTGTGCCACTTTGCAGAACACATTTGATAACCTGAGTGGAACAACACTTCAGGCACAAGTTCAATAAACACGTGTCCCAGCACTAGGGAGGCAGAGGCAGGGAGATTTCTGAGTTTGAGGCCAGTGAGTTCCAGGACAGCCCGGGCTGCATAGGGAAACCACCCCCCCCCCACACACACACAGAAGAAAAGGTCTGACTACTTACCAGTGCAAATTTATCAGTACCAGATTGTGATTTGCTTAAAGAATTTATTAAATACCAAACGCTTTTCTGGCTTGTTTTGCTTCATCCTGCACAAAGCATATGCCAAGGTGTGGACATGAAGACAGCAGACTGAGGAGATCAGTGTGTTAGCACACCTCTGTAGTCCAGGCACTCCAGGGAGGTGGAGGCGGGAGCTTCAGGAGCTCCAGGTTATCCCCCACTTACTATGTAGACCAGGCTGGCACTGAGAGCTGTAAAAGGCGAGGTAGCCCACGCCCAGTTGATTCTCCAGCTTTTGAAAGACATAGGTTGTCCTTATCTTGAGGGTTACAGGTGGCATCCTCCATGGAAGGACTTGAGGATGCTCTGAGGGGCAGCGCCCTTCAGTTCTCAGGGGCGTTCAGAGCGCAGGCTTTGCACTCGGTCTTATGGCAGCCCCTCACCTTGCCTTGTCTCTTCCTTGCAGGGGAGAAGCCCTACAAGTGCACCTGGGAGGGCTGCGACTGGAGGTTTGCGCGGTCGGACGAGCTGACCCGCCACTACAGGAAACACACGGGTGCCAAGCCGTTCCAGTGCGGCGTGTGCAACCGCAGCTTCTCCCGCTCCGACCACCTGGCGCTGCACATGAAGCGACACCAGAACTGAGCGCGGCGCTGACCGCCCGACGCCTCGCAGTCCGCTCTGCCACCCTTTAAACCGCAGACCTAACTTCATATATAAAAAGAGGAAAAGAAAAGAAAAAAACAAAAGAACTGGAAATGTATATTTTGTATATTTGAGGCCACAGGGAATACATTGTATTCATACCAAAGTGTTTGGTTATTTTGAGAACCTGGAAGCTTGCTGTCACGCTCACTGCTGGCTTTAGTCCAGCAAACTTCATCTCCAGACAGGCTGCCACATCTCAGCATGGGGAACCGGTGGGGGCGCACGGGGTGCGTATGCTGTTTCTATGCCGACTGCACACGCTATCATTGGTGACATTGTTTAGTATAAACAAACCAGTTGACAGGCATCCGACAGATTGTCAAGATTTTACTTGACATGGACTTGTTTTTTTTTTTTTTTCTTCGAGATTAGATTATTTCCATAGCGGAGGTACGCAGTGTACCTGGCAATTCACAAATAGCCATTGAACAAATGTGTTTTGTTTTTGTTTTTGTTTTTTTTTTATATGAGTTGCCTATATTTGCTATTCAAAATTTTGTAAATACGCAAATCAGCTTTATAGGTTTATTACAAGTTTTTAAGGATTGTTTTGGGGGGGGATATCACACTTCTTTTGAAAATAACTATGAATACATGTAAAGGTAGAATTTGTGGTTAAGATACCTCTCAAAAAAGTTACCAAATCCATTGCTTTGGGGAGGGAATAATCATTCGAATGAGTAAAATGCAAATTACGCTCTCTGATTGAAATAAGATTGTTTATTTTAAATATGAAAGATTTTTTATATGGATTTAAACTGAAGAGCTTAAAGATAGTTAGAATACACAGATATTAAAGGTCTTACCATAATTAAACAGTATCATTGAAGTGGGTGAGGGCTGGTGTGGCTGTCACACGTGTCCTTGTTGACCTTCAGGCTCTGTTTGCACTCGTGAAAGCATTGAATCTGGTGCAGTTCATGTTGACTGGGATGTTTGCTCCTGCAGTACTGTTGGTTAAATGACAATTTATGTGGCTTTTTGCATGTAATATCCAGTGAGACACAGTAATTTTTATTGAAATTACAGTGCTGTGTAGTTAATCTGTTAATACTGACTCGGTGTCTGCCTTTAATATCAGTGATAGGTTGAAAGCTTACCAATATGCAATCTCATAGGAATGTGACGTTGATGCTGTTAACCAAAGGGCAGAAATCATAAGCAAAATGCCAAAAGCGGTCTTAATTGAAATTTTAATTCTTGTTTTTAAAATATTGTTTATCATTATTTATTTTGTGGTAATATAGTAAGTTTTTTTAGAAAACAATTTTCATAACTTGATAAATTATAGTTTTGTTTGTTAGAAAAGTTGCTTCACTGTGTAAATAAGTGACAAACGGTGTAAATAGTTTTGTAAGAGGCTTCGAGATGTTTATACGTGGACACACCTACATCAAAAGCGTAAATCGGCTGCTGTTTTGCTTCTTTGTCCCTTATTTTTGTATTGTGGTCATTTCCTATGCAAATATCGGAGCAAACAGCTGTATAGTTGTAGAATTTTTTGAGAGAATGAGATGTTTATATATTAACGACAATTTTTTTTTGAAAATAAAAAGTGCCTAAAAGATTTCTGTGGTGCCTTCTTTACCTTCCATAGCAGAGAATGAGCATTATAATCCTGGAAAGACTTAGAGAAAGTCCGGAGACCCATTTGCACAGCGGGCACTGGCCTGTAATCCCAGTCTCTCAGGGCTGAATTCAAGGACATAGTAAGGTGTCTGCAAAGGAAAAACCCTTTGGATCACACGGCCTTGAGGAGGTAGCAGGAGTTATTTAGGAATTGAAGTTTAGACTGGGTGTGTGTATCTTGCTTGATGGAATGGATTGCCTAGCAGATGTGTCCAAAGCCCCGGGTTCCAGCCACAGCCTTGCGTCCACCAGGCAACGAAGGTGCACACCACATCTCAACTCTGTTGGAGACGGGAGGATCAGAAGTTCAGTTACCCTTAGTTACTCCATCTTTAAGAAGGGAACCCAGTGTACTCAAATGTAGTTTGCAAGACTGGCTTTCTCCTGTATGGAAAGAAGGGCAGGGTATGTCTACAAGTGGAGAACTCTGTTGACACTACCTGGGCCAGGGGACCAAGTTCTACACCAGCAGTGATAAGTGATCGTGACCTGATAAAAATAAAACTTGCCCCTGTTGTCTTAGGACATATATTTCCTGTGTTGTGAGAGGCAACAAGCAGCACCTATAAAATACTACCGAGGCCAGGAAGGCACTGAAGCTATGGGTCAGGCCTGATATCCCAAAGCAATGATGGAGTAAAGGCTGAGGGAACTGGGCATGGTGGCCAAATACCAGACTCAAAAAATGAGGTGGAGAAAGGAAAAGCCAAGAAAACCCACAAAATATCCAGTGTGCCAGTGTTAGTTCATCCACTGTGATAACTGTATCAACTAATGTATACTCTTTATTGTTTCATTTGTGTTCCTAATGTATACTTTTAATAACAAGGCAACATGGGGGTAGGATTGTAAGAATTTTATTATCATTGTTATAAATCTTTTGTCTTGAGACAAGGTCTCACTGTATAGTTCTTGGCTGTCCTGGGACTTTGTAGACCAGGTTGGCCTCAAACTCAGAGATCTGCCTGCCTCCCAATGCTGGAATTAAAGGCCTGTGACACTATGCTTGAAGTATTAAGGTGCTGGATCAAACCCAGGCCTTGGACTTCAAGGGAAGCAATGGGGCAGCTATGATACATTCCCCAGCCCTGGCCACTGGCTTCTGGGAACGAGGACGTGGGTAGTTAGTTGAAATTTATAATTGTATGAAGTAGCCCCCCACTTACACCTATGAACCTCGTTCTTGATTTGGTTCCCAGAGCTCATTAGTATTGAAGTTCCTAGTATTGTAATACAACTTGTCCCTAAATGACAAAACAAGCCATTTCTGCTTCTTCCTGTCACTTAACTGTTCCTCTCTCCTCTTCATAGGCGGCTCTTAAGCGGGTCTTGATCCACACTGACTGACCCTTTCCCTTGTGCTAGCCACCTGCTTGAATTCTTGGCCGCCATTCTTGGCCGCAGTCCTGTTGTGTTTAGAGACACACAGCACCTTAGTATTTGAGTCATTGTCCCAACTTTGATTGGTAGCCCTTCTTGTATGTTTTACACCTTCAGATTTTTCATATTTTAAGATAATGTATTTATCCTTAGTGCGTCGGAGGGCATGTATGTCAGCGTGAGAATGTCAGATCTTGGAGCTGCCATGTTGGTGCTGGGAATCAAACTTGTGTCTTCTAGGAGAACAGCCAGCTCTCTTAACCGCTGAGCCATCTCAACAGAACCCCCAGAATTTAAATTTTTTTTTTGTGAGACCATTACCACTTCATTGGAAGAATTTAGCCTTTCTTGTATTACTGCTCTTACTGGTTAATAAAAAGCATCTTAAGAGATAGTTCCGTCTCAGTGCCGTGTGAATTGGCTTAAACCAGTGCAGCAACTGAATAAATCTACTGCTGGTCAGTCTTTGGGCTGTGTTATTGATATAGCCTTTGGTGTTGGGTTTTTTGATAAGGTGATAACGTGAAACTAGGGTTATAACGCGAGCAACACGTAAAATAGCCTGCTGATTTTTAAGCTTTATTAGTCTTTAAGGGAAATATAATTTGCAACAGAAGTTCACTCAATGAGTTTTCAAAGCTACAAGGGATTTAATTGCTGGCCACTGTTGGGTCCACTAAACCATTATCTGGGCTCCAACATATCCCCAGTGTTTCTTCAAAAACAAAGCACAGTCGTTTATTGATACACTCGTAACAGCACACCAGGTTCCAGTTGGCTAGGTGTGGCTGTGTGACTTGATTTCCAATGCATCAACCTCTGAGTTATAACTGTCCGCTGCTCATTCTCCCTCCCTTGATGCCGAGTTGGGTCCCGTCATCTCCATTGGTCGTTGCCTTCTTCCCTTGCGGCTTATAAGAAGGGCACCATTTCCTGGCCCCCATCATGGACTTTTTTAAACAAGCAGTCCCTAGCTGCCTGTACAGAAACAGTTTACGCCAGCGAGTCCATGTTTCCTCTCTCTAGCTAAGCATGCTAGGTCTTTTTGGATTCCTCGGGAGCTGTACCTCCACGAGGACTTTTTTTTTTTTTTTTTTTTAACTGTTATTTAGTCTGTTCTCTAGTTTGAAGGAAACCGGACTCCATCTTTGCTGAGAGGCAGTGCTCTAGTGTAATCTAATCAGTGGGAGACATGTTTTCTCCTTCCTTCAGTTACTCGGGGCTATGGGTGACAAAATATGGAACTTACTTCATGAACACTTTCACAGTGAGCATTAAGAAAAGCAGCTCTGGCTGGGCAGTGGTGGCGCACGCCTTTAATCCCAGCACTCGGGAGGCAGAGGCAGGCGGATCTCTGTCAGTTCGAGACCAGCCTGGTCTACAGAGCTAGTTCCAGGACAGGCTCCAAAACCACAGAGAAACCCTGTCTCGAAAAACCAAAAAAATAAAAAATAAAAAAAAAGAGGAAGGTTATCAGGGTGTAGATGTTTTAATCATTCGTCCAGTCATTCGTTTGTTTGTGGGTATCGGTTGGGGAGATATGGGTCATGGGGAGGTCAGGGGAAATCTTGCTGGAGTTGATTTTCTCCTCTTAAGGTGGATTCCAGGCATCCAAGTCCACTCTCTTCTTCCACAATGACTTCCAGAGCTTGAACTCAGGTTACAGGTGTAGCACGAATCCTAATTGGTCTCAATAAATAAAAAATCAGAGTCAGATATTAGGGGGTGAAAGCTGAAAGATCAGAGAAGCAGGACAGCCAGTCACTAAAGAGACATTTCACCTCTACCAAATCCACGCACTGAAGGGATGCTCCTGTCTCTACCAATTCTCAGACTGCCCTGAGCTTCTAATTCCTCCCTCTTTCTATTCCTCTCTCCGCCTAGCCATATTCCTTTCTGTCTCCACCGTCCTAGTGCTGGGGTTAAAAGCGTGGGACTCCCATGTACTGGGATTAACGGTGTGAGCCTCCATTGCCTGGCATCTAGTGACTTAGCTTTGCACTTGGATCCTCAGGCAGGTTTTATTTGTTAAAACACAAATGAACTATCACTACAATCAGGCTTGGCACTGAGCACATTCACCCGCTTAGTCGCGCCATTGGTTCCTATTCCTGCATATTTGAGGTCAGCCTACTTATTTAGTGATGGGTGCACTAGTGAAATCCTAGGAAAATTTAAAAAAACAATGGGAGGGGTTATAGAGAAAAAGAAGAGAAGGAAAGACAGTCAGTCAGCAGGCTTAACTGGTAAAAATCACGTGTTGTATGAATCTGACCACGCGAGGTTGAGCAGAAGGAAGGAACAGATCCTGGAGGTTCTCCTCTGCCTACACACACACACACACACACACACACACACACACACTATGTGTAAAATAATTTTTAAAAGCCATTACTAATGCCTTCAGATATTATAAAGCTATAACTGTGAAGCAATCAGAATACATAAAAAACAAAAGATTGTCGTAGGCACGATAAGTCAATGTAAATCTTAAAAATGGTGGATGGCATTTGAAGGAACCCAAGGTTGAGCTCTGTCCTCTACACATGTCTACCTACATGTATGTGCGCACCTGTACGTGCACACTGCACACATACACAACAAAAGCCAAGCCATGGTGAAGCGCTTCTTCAATCCCACCTCTGGGGAGGCAGAGAGGCAGGTGGAGCTCTGAGTTCGAGGCCATCCTGGTCTGCAGAGTGAGCTCTAAGACAACCAGGGCTACACAGAGAAACCCTGTCTCGAAAAATAAAACAAAGCAACAGCAACAACAGAAAGAAAACAAGAAAAGAAAACCAATGAAAAGAGCCTTCTGCCTTCCCCTCCCAGGTGCAGGATCACAGGTGTGCGCCAGCTCCCTGGGCTGGATCCAGAGCAGATCTGTGCTGGGTAAGCGTCCTAACAGAGCCACATGTATAACTACTAGTGTAGTTATATAACAGCGGCATCCTTGGAAATACACTCGGTGCGTCTCCAATTCTCTTTTGGTTGTTGTAAAAATCTCCTCCAAGTGAGTTTTTCATAAAATTGAAAGAGCCAATGGAGCACTGAAGACGATCTTCTGATCAGCATTCCAATTATTTCTTTGTTGAAGATGCTAAGTCTTCTGCCTGATAGAGGGGAGGCTTTGAAACTACTGGCAAAGTGAATAATGTTTTGACCAAGAATGAGATGAATGTTTTTTCCCCCGGGTTTCTTTTTTAAAAACCACTTATGATCCCAGGATGGCATCAGATCAGTTGGGTCTAAAGGCGTAAACATTAACAATAATACAAGTTAATCCAGCTCTTTGTGGATAAGACAGAGCAGTATTATGAGGAGCTAGCTGCCAATGGCCAGGCCTCTTCTGCATTTTATGAAGAATGTTTTCCTCCGAGAAATGATAGTTTAGCAATGGTATCTTTTTCTATTAGCTTAGAATTCCTTGGTGTCTAAAGGATAAAAATGGCCCCATCATCTGTAGGGCTCTCTCTAGGCTTTCTATGCACAACGGTAAACAAGGGATGGCGGCTGTGGCTGCAGGCGTTCTGCGGTTTACAAGAAGCAGAAGGAATAGTA